TTAAAAGCGGTTGCCAAAAATTACAATTTACATTTTTAAATGACCACACTCTGCCTTCAAATAATATCCTACTTAATGAACAGTGTAAGAATCTTACAATACTATAATTTCATTAGCACTTCCCTTTTATTGGTGGTCTTATCTTAAATTTTACTTCTTCATATACTATACTCCACAGTGTTATTATTTTTGTTTTAAGCATTTGTCTTTTAATGAAATTTGTTCATTCTCTTTTTCCGATTCCTTCCTTTCCGCTCTCCCTCTTTCCCTCCTTTTCTCTCTCTCCTTCTCTCTCTACCTGCCTGTGTGTGCGCGCGTGTGTGTGTGTGTGTGCGCGTGTGTGTGTGTTGAAGATACTCAAAAATGATTTTATATTTACCCAGGTATTTTTGGAGTTCTTCATTCCTTCCTGCTGATCCTTGGTAGCTCATGATTTCATTTTCCTTATTCTGAAGAACTTTATTTTGGCATTTGTTATTATGTGGATCTCCTGGGGACAAATTCTGTTGGATTTTTATCACATTGAGAGTGTTTCTATTTTGCCTTTATTTTTAAGGGATGTTTTCTTGGGAAGTAGAATTTTAGGCTGGCAGCTTTTTCTTGTAGTATTTAATAGATACTGTTCCATTGCCTGTTTGTCTTCACGATTTCAGGTTAGATGTCACTTGTAACTCATGTAGTTGTTTACTGAATGTATTTTTTTTTCTCTGATTTTAAGGTATGTTTTTTTAATTTGGTTTTCAGAATTTTGACTGCTATGTAATCGGGAGTGTTTTATTTATATTTATCTGTTTAGAGTTTGCTGCAATTTTTTGATCTGTGGGTTGCTATCTTTTATCAGTTGTGGAAATTTGTCCTCCAATATCTCTTCCAATATTCTCACCCATTTTCTCTCTTCTCACCTTTTTGTACTCCAGTTATACATAAATTGGATAGTTTACTTTTTTCCTCATAGATCGGTATTGGTTTTTATAAATCTCTTTTTGTCTTTCAATCTTATACATTTGGCCTTCTGTATCCATAGGTGGATATGTGGATTCAGCCAACAGTGGATCAGAAATGTAGTTAGGCCTACAGTGGTAGTGTCTGTACTAAATGTGTACAGACTTTTTTTTCTTGTCATTATTGCCTAAATGATACAGTATAACAACAATTTACATATCCTTTACATTGTAGTAGGCATTACAAGTAATCTAGAGATGATTTAAAGTATACAGGGGATATGCATGGGTTATATGCAGATACTACGCTATTTTATATAAGGTGCTCCAGCACCTCTGGATTTTGGTATCTGAGGGGTCTTGGAACCAATCTGCCTTGGATACTGAGGGATGACTGTACTTCCTATTCATTTGTCTCTAAACTCATTAAACTTTTACTCTACCAATTCCAGTTTCCTTCTAAATCTGGCCAATGAAATCAACATTTTATTATTTCCTGTCTTGATCATATAAATTTTTTTTGCCTTTTAGTATATCTTGTTTTGTTTGTTTGTTTGTTTGTTGCGCGATGGAGTCTTGCTCTGTTGCCAGTTTGAAGTGCAGTGGCTCAATCTTGGCCCACTGCAACTTCTGCCTCTCTGGTTCAGGCAATTCTCCTGCCTCAGCCTCTTGAGTACTTGGGACTATAGGTGCGCACCATCATACCCAGCAAATTTTTGTATTTTTAGTAGAGACTGGTTTTCACCAGGTTGGCCAGGATGGTCTCAATCTCTTGACCTTGTGATCACCCACCTTGGCCTCCCAAAGTTCTGGGATAACAGGTGTGAGCCACCGCACCCAGCCTCTTGTACTTTTTTGATTGTGTGCTCGACTGTGATGACTGAAATGAATATTATCATTTCCATAAAGGGTGTGCTGCTTTATCTCTTAGGTTCCTGCAGTGGGGTGAAGTCAATCTGATTTGTATTTGAGCTGGGCATGTGCTTTATTGCAACTTTGGTTTAATTAAGTCCACTCAGGTTTCAAGTGTTTTGAGGGTGGGATTAGGACTTTCCCTTCTGCAGGGTCTGTTCTCTGGGCACTGTGGAGATTCTGAAGATCTTTTCATTTTTTCAATCCTTTGTGTTAATTTTCAAGATTTTCACTCTCTCCTGTTTTGCCATGTTTTGTTATTTATTTAACACACTCATATTAAGGGAATACTCTATATTGGATATTGTAATAGAGTAAGAGCAATTAAACTGATGGATACTCTCATAACACTCAGTGAGTTTACAGTTTGGTGAGGGCAGCAGATAGCATGCAACAAATAGTTGCAAGAGTAATAATAAAGGGGGAGTATCAGTGGGAATGGCTGAGAGATAAGTACCTGAGCCAGGGGATTGGGGATCCTTGTTTGAGGGAGTAACATTTAAGTTGAGATGTGAAGAATGTTTTTAGTTTACTTATTGTTGAGTGGAGTAGGCTGGTTCTGAAGTGTTTAGGACAGAAGAAACCTCATGGAGGTCCTTGAGGTGTCTAAACACAGTGAGGCTGGCCAAGGTCAAGACCTGATGATTCTAGCCCTCTCAGGCCATATTAAGAACTAAGTGTTAAAACGTTCTCTCATGGAGTTCAGAGTAACTGTGGGTGGCTATTGCAATAGTTTACTCTGGTGAAGGATACTGGGGCTGTCAGTGAAAGTGATGGCAGTGATGATGGGGAGAACAGGGTACATTTGTAGGTGGGATTGACAGAACTCAGTTGATTGGATGTAACGGATGAGAGGAAAAATATGTCCTCCAGCATGAGCTAGAATGAATGGTGGCCACCACTGATGGAAACAGAGGGTGAGTACAGGCTTGGGAAGAAGACATGTTTTGCATGTGTGTTTGAGATGCCTGAGGCACTGTCAGCCAGATACCTAAGGGGATTAAGGATTAAGGAGTGAGCCATTTGCTTATAGAGAGTGACTGGAATCAGAGTAGTGGGTCACTTGCTCAGCAGGCGTGTGTGGAGAGAGAAGTAATATGGCCTATTACAGAAATTCCAGCGTTTGAGGAGAGTGAGAGACAAACCTGTTAAAGGAAGCTGAGGGCCAACTAGAGGTGCACGAGGACAATGAGGAGTGTAAGAGTCACAGAAGCCACAGGGAGAAAATCATTAGGAAGGATCAACAGTGTTGCATGGTGCTAAGAGGTCTGGTGAACCAAGGACTTGGGATCGTCTGTTAGATTCTGTGGCTTGGAGGGGAGGCTAGAAAGAATGAGTTTCTTCTTGTGTTGGGTGAGAATCTTAACTCCATTTAAAATCTTGAGCCTACACATTCTATTTTAGAGGACTTACTAGATTAGTGCTCTAGACCATGTGTACCTGTCAATGATCCTAATCAGGTGCTTTTAAGCACCTTTCATGCTGCTGCACTGTATTTAACTTTCCTAACTTGTCCCTTTAGGCTTCTCACTACGAGTTTCATTAATCAGACATCTAATTCTCTTAAAGCCTGAGTGCTTCACAGTTCACAACTCTTTGCTGTATTCCCACTTTGATACTAACATCTTCATGTATACAACGAAAGCACTTGACCTTAAGTTTTGTTTCTATTTTCATTCATTCATTTTCTTTCTCACCCCCTCTTTCTCTGTAGAAAGTGTGGTAAATTACTGGAAAAAAACCTAAAATTGAGAACTTATAAAATGAATGACCAGAGTTCTCATTTTCAGTATTTGGACAGTAAAATTTTGCTTTCCTGGTGTGATTCATCAAAACCAGTGATTCGAAGGCCTCTAGGATATGGCTTTGTGGCCTGGATAGAGAAAATTCTTCATGAGTTGTTATTTCCTTGAGCTGGGTTTATAATGGATTCGACTCAATACACACAGTGTATCTTTTACTACTGTGAATCCAGGAAGTTTCATGTAGAGGTACAGAGACTTTTCAGACACACAAACCTGTTGGACATTCTGGTTGTTTGCATTTATTACTGCCTAACAAAAGTTAAACAGATATATGATTCTTTCCAGTTGTTTCTGTATTGTTCTCCTCAGAAAAGTAAAAGCTATGAAGTTTCACATCTCATTCATAGTAGATCAGTTAGATGGATTCCTTGTAAAGCTAGGCAAAATTGTCAAAATTTGTTAAAGGACATCACCTTAATGGACAGGGTAAAGAGATTTTGTGTATAAAGTTGGGAGGAAAAGAAAAACCCAAATAACTTACACCGATTTAAAAAATGTATTAATGCAGAAAATTGGGAAGACAAACTTGAAGTTAAAAATTTTACTTAGGTATTTAATGTAAAAACATTTTAGGTTAGGAGAAGGCAGTGCACTGCTCTTCAGTCCTGCTTTTCCTGGTCTTTTCCATGAGAGTGTAGTGAGAAATAACTAACACAATCTATATTTGTAGCAATTGGAGTCATGTTGGAGTGGAAAATTCCATGCTAAGCAAAGACACGTAAGATTGCTGAAAGGATAAGCTTATGTAGGAAGGATAAAGCAAAACGTTTCATGCTGCCGTTTTCTCGGGCTGGAGAGCTGGGGGCTGATCAGAACACCCTCCAATGCTATTTGCCCACAGAAAGAGTGAGGCCCAAATGGTACTTCGGTGAAAAGAATATCTTTTAAAAAATAGCCTCTTGCTTATCCTTGTATCAGAGAGAAGCCTCCCCAGTCTCCATTCATTAGCCACGCTGTATCCAGGAGTGAATTCCCAGAGCACAAGCCTACGCCATTGTGTGTGCATTCTCTGCTCTAGAATTCTTGCACATACTTATCTGGACTTCCACGTTCTCTGTGTCACAGCTTTCCTTTGATGATGATGTCAATTTAAAATGATACCAGGTTCATGATGGTTCCCTCTGGGAGAATTTACACCCTGAACATTTGGGGGGTGTACCTTTACCATTCCCTCCATCTTTCCTTTCTTTTTGAACTTGTCAGAGATAGACCTTAATGTAATTCCTGATGGTTTTAATATTAGAATGAAAAATTAGTATTTCTGAGATTATTTAGATGAATGATAATGACTTTTGTTATGTGGGTCTGGTCATCGTGTGGTATTTTCTCCCCCTCTCCCCAGGAATGCTGTCTCTGCAATTTGAGAGGAGGTGCTCTTAAGCAAACTAAGAACAACAAGTAAGTACTACATTAATTGTTTTGAATTTCATTACTTTTCTTTCTTCATTCTAGAACCTTTGGATGACAGTTCACTTTACCTCTCATTGTATACATGGTTTCAAAGCTTTTGCTGCTCAGATCTGAGGTTGGAATTTTGTACTTCAGAGATGTCTGCTGTTAGCATTCTCATCTCTGCTGGGCAAGAGTAGTCCAAGTTATGCTTCTGTTCTTTGTATTTGACACTGTGATAAATAACCCCTCTTTTACTCGCAGAGTTTTAAGACTGAAGGCAGTCCTTATCATCCTGATGCCATTAGAATCCTGGTGTCTAATATGATGGATGCTATTGGTCTGTTGAAAACAGGGCATACCTGAGAAAGTGAAACTGTGATCTTCTGATTAAATCAGTCATAGCGATGATAATAAAACAAAACCATTCACTTTTTACATTAGCAAATTAACAAGAATGACTAAATTAGAAAAGATAGGGAGAACACATTAATATTAAGATTTAAAGGGATCAGGTAGAGAATATGAAAAGTCTTGAAAGAGGGTCGTAAGTGAACATAAAAGGAAGCCAATCTAGTTTTTATGACTGTTTGCTTGGATTTTATTTTTATTTTCATGACCAGGTTTTAATATTGAAAATGGGGCCAAAGCATATTTCAGGGTCCACTGGAATAGAGACATGTCAAAATAACTTAGGCAGATTTTGCAGGCTGGCCCTTGAGGGCTGGATTCAGGTCCAGGATATGTTTTGTTGGACCCATGCAGTAGTTTATAAATTTCATCTAAAATTTTAAAATTGAGAGATTTTTACATAAAAATCCAGATTTTCACCTTTAATTGAAAATGATTGTGTATCCCTGTAAAGCAATAATAACAAGTTGGGATGAGAACCCAGTGTCAGTGAGGCAGGTGCTCCTCAGTTCACCATGATTTCTTAGTATATGTGTATTTGCTTACATCCCGCCTGACCCCCTGGGCACTGGAGTTAGGACTCCTGGTATAATGTGATAGTGGAGTTAGCATAATTCTATACATTTGCACATGTTTCTGATTGCTTGGAAGGAGGAGTGAAGGTATTTATCATTATTACATTGATAAAATTTATTGTAAGGAACCGTAAGTTTTGCTTAATTTTGGATCATCTTCTTTCACGGTCCTGTCTGTTATGATTGGCACTGTACTAAAAAGTCTTCATTTGTTCTTGGATATTGCAGGGAATGCCAGACTGTGAGATGGTTTAGATGGTTCCTGTAAAAACACAGGTGATAAGAAGTTCTCTTCCTATGCTTGGACCACTGCAGAAAACAATAGTGTTTTCTATAGAATCATAGTATTTATTTCGACATGGAAGAACACCCCAGTGGGGTTGATACTTGTTCTTTCTTCCTGTGGTCTTGAACGACGGGATAGAGTATGATGCTGTTTGAGTCAAGTAAATACGCTTTGGCTTAAAAATAGATTGATGGATTTGACAATTCTTTCAAGATCTCTTCAAACCTCATGGCTCTTTATATTTATTTTGGGATATAACATTTATGAGACACTTAATAGTATTAGTGGGAAGGTTGTCACTTTTCAGAATGTGAGAGAAGATACTAGGATTTAAGTAGGAAACAAGGGTACAAGATAAACTTCATTTGTCTTTGTCTCCGGATTCCTTTGACTATAGTAAGGTTGCAGCAAGAAACAAATTAACTAAAGATTAGCATTAATTCTTTTGGAAAATTTTTGCTACTTGAACAAGTTTGCTTCATGACATTTGTATTATTTCAAAAGGTTGTATGCTGTAGCCAGTCATACCTTTTATTAATTGAACTAATCTTTTGCCACATATTGATTAGCTTAAATACATTAAGCACATGCCTATTCCAGCGTCAAATGAAATAAGAAACCAACATTTCAGTATTTTCCAGATCAAGTGTAAAAAAATGCATGCATGTTAATAGGATTGAGTCCTGGACCTGTGCCAGCTCTTCATGGTACAGTATTGTTGGGCAGCTGTGGTACTGGGTTTGCCCAGGTATCATTCAGGAGGTTTAGAGTTCAGAAGCTGTTTGTGATGGATTTAGGCTTTTGGATTTCCTGCTCATCTGTGTTTTTCCCATTTGTGAGAATTGGCATCACCATGTTGAAGTATGTAAGTTTAGGGAACGTTTGTTGATGTTTAATGTCTCCTTTCCTGTAGGTGGGCCCATGTCATGTGCGCTGTTGCGGTCCCAGAAGTTCGATTCACTAATGTCCCAGAAAGGACACAAATAGATGTAGGCAGAATACCCTTACAGAGGTTAAAATTGGTGAGTGGCAAAGCTTCTTTTTTACCTCATAAATTAGTGTTAATTTCCAGTTATGAACTTTTCTGTAAATGCACACGTTTCCAAGATACATTTTCTCCTAGCTTCCTTTTGTTTCCACCCTTATTTTCTTTTAGCCTACATTTATTTATTCTTACAGATTCTTTTCCTGTTATATTGTAAGTCTGCATACAGCCTTCCTCAAATTCTGTCTGAAATGAGGAAAAAGATATTAATACATTTCCTGAATTAATGTGAACTTTCAAACTATAGGTTATCTGGTAATATTTGTCAGTATTGGAGGTGAGCCATCTAACTCTATTTAAATTGTTTAGTTTTTCTCTCTTGACTGTCTTTGGTTGGTCTTAACCTAGCAAAATGTATCTAACCTAATTTCATTATCTCTTCACCAAGAAGAGACACACAGAGAAATAAAGAAACTTTTATTATTACAAAAATATTTTCTCACTCATGAATAGGTACAAGTCACTTAATATGCCAAACTCTCTGGCCTGTTCAGAAACTGTCATAAAAATATTCCTGTTGGTTTCCATAAAGAGTATTTTTCATTGAAAATATAGGCCTTTATTATCTCTAACATTGAAGTAACTTTGTGTTTTATTCAGTTATGAACCAACAGATCATTAGTTTAGGCCCTTATATTGCATACCTAATTAGAACTTTCCCTAAAGTTCAACTGCATGACCTTAATATATTGGAGCACGTCTTACAGGTGGATTTAAAACTCTAGAATTTCCCAAGTCCTTGTTATTTTCCATTGAAGGTCTTTCCACTGTACAGCATTTCAGGTACCATCATCATGACTCTTTCTTCTTGACTGTTGCTTGATTTCTCACTGCTCTTTTCCCCAACAGGGAGCTGGGTGTTCCATGTCTGGGCCTGTCTTATAGGAACTAAAAATCTAGTGTACTGTCTTGTTTTCTGAGAAGTGAAAGTGAACACCGTTATTTGCCATCATACCTCCATCAAGAATTTCACTTCAGTAGGAAGTATGTGGGCCTTTCATGGAACTGATGATTCTGTGGGCTGGTATGAACGGTGGGCCCAGGATACTCAGCATGTGGCAGTTGGAAGTTTAGTAATCTAAGATGGAAGTGAGTGGGCCATTTAAATGACCCTCTAAAGATCACAGTGACTATCAGAAGTAGTAAGAATGGAGTATAATTCTTTAGCTCCTCGACTTCCATAGGAAAGGTTGAAATCTTGTACCCCGATTACCAAACAAAAAGACACCAAAAAACAAACAAAACATTTGCAAGATTTAGGACTATGAGACCTGATATCCAAAAAAAATGTTGAACTACCACATGTTAAATAATTTAATGTTTAGTGTTACAAATATTAACATTTTAATTTTTTTCTGATTATAAAAGTAATATATATTTGTCCAAAGTCTGACACCACCTTTTAAAGTCACCTTTGTTTCTGTCTTCTGTTACCAGTGCAGTACCCCTCAGAAGGAGTAGTCACTGTTCTTGAGGCTGCCTCCACAGGCCTGTGTCTTGGCTTCTCTAGTCCCTAAATAGGTCCTTAAACATTTAACATTACCTGCACCAGTCCCAAAGGATTTTTGAGAGAATAGCAGGGAAGGGCGGCCCGGTTATTTCAACCACTTTCAGGGTGTGTGGCTAGAAATATGATAATTGCATCTAAAGATGGTAAAGCTTGTTGCTTTCCTCACAGTGCTGTGTTTCATCTTGATCGTGCATGCCACGTATTTCTCATGGAATGTTTCCTTCCTTAAGTGATCAGTACCTTAAAAAGAGCATGTCTTAACTGAGTGTCATAGCACCTAAAGTCTATTCAAATGACAACACAGAGCTGTGCTTACAGATATAAGCTGATATCTATGAAGTATTTTTTTATGAAAAAAGCAGCCTATAGACCAGATTATTTTTCATATAATTTTATATTTATGGAAAGTTTCTTAGAATTATCCTCATCAAAATGCTTATAGTAGTTACTTTTAGTGGAATAGTAATATGAGAAGAAACTTCATTTGGGGGAAGAATCATCCAGTTTCTAATAGTTTGACAGGGGCAACGACCAGAAGTCTGGATTCTTTTTCACTGAGTCCTCAGGAAGGAAACAACACCCTTGTGAGTCCACTGTAGTCCGGTGTCTGTGCCCTAGTCTTCACTGATGTTCCATGGTGATCAGACTCAGAGAGGCTGGCTTTGAATGATACATTTTACTTATATAGGGAATGAAACACACTTTTCCAGGGAATAGGTTGCTCTGCCCTGTATGTCGTGTTAAGGGTACACTTTGCTGACATAGGCATTCTTCTGAAGTTTAAATGGTAATCTAACAAGTTCATAGCTGGCAGGAAAGCAGAGTGGTTTTGTGCGGCAGTTCATCTAGGCCAAAGTAAGTGCAGCTAGGCTATTTTATTCTGCCTGTTTCATAAATATATATGTGTCTGCTGATGTCAGTTTCAGTAATTTTTCTGGAGCTGTAGACATTCCTTTTCTGAATCCTAGACTGTCCACCCTGCCTTCCCAATTGTACAACTGGAAAATAATACGAATTATTTAGATGTCATAATCAGTTTATTGTACCAAACAATTATCACTTATCTTGCCAAATAGTATATATTTTTGAATAAGACACAGTTTTTGTTCTCTCAGTCTTGGCACTATTGATGTTTTACAGCAGATAATTCTTTGTTGTGGAGTACTGTCCTGTGCATCATAGGATTCCAGCATCCTTCACCAAACAGGCATTACCATCCATCCCCTGGGAGGCAAAATCACCCTTATTTAAGAACCCACTGGTCTACAGGGAAGACATAGACATAAAGAGAATATTTTAAATATTTGTCATTTTTAGAGAATATGTTGGTTGGAGGGACTGAATTCAAGACTGACAGAATGGACATTCTTAAAGGTTTTTAAAAACAATCCTGGAATTTTTTTCTTTTTTCAAATCCAGATTTCTGTTATGTCAGCAAAGCAATAAAGTCTAGCAGCATGTGCATATTAGCTACTATATAATAATAATTATTATTATTATTGTATTTTTAGTAGAGACAGGGTTTCACCATATTGGCTAGGCTGTTCTTGAACTCCTGACCTTGTGATCTGTCTGCTTTGGCCTCCCAAAGTGCTGGGATTACAGGAGTGAGCCATCACGCCCAGCCATAATTATTAATTATGTAATCTGATTTAGCAATTTAACATTACCTGTTCTTATAGAAATTGAACAACCAAATTGAATACTAATTAAATTTCACCTAAGATTAAAATTCTGTGATATATGTGTATATGCACATAGTAGTCACTGAGTAAATATTTATGAAATGAATAAAAGGCAGCAAATCATTATTCATTATTTGTGCTTCAGGCTTAAAATGATTCTGGCTGGAGGGTTTTGATCAGACAATAACAGATGGCCTGTGCCTTTCCACTGTTCTTTGAAAGTAGAGAATTCACACACATCTCTGCATACTGCTCTAAAGCAAGGCATTACTTGAGCTAGCTGCATCACAGGGGACATATGATTAAATCGTAGAGTCCAGCAGTACTCCAGAGAGCCTATGAAGCATGCATGCGGTACTCGTCTTGTTAGTTGAAAATTCTGATCTTGGAACGTCTGGGTCAGCTAGGGATTGAAAACGAGTGGATAAGTGGTTCATCCCTGAAGCAGCAGCAAGGGCTGCATCTCTTCAGTCCCCACCAGGTGGTGCTGGTGCACCAGTTTCTTATGTAGTTCTTAAACTACCACCTCCCTTCTCTAGTGCCTAACTGGCGCTCTGCCCACACAGAGAAGCGGGGTAGAGATAGGGCGGTGGGGGGGGGGGGATTGTTGTATACTGAGCTGCTTTAGCCCAAAGAATGGCAATAAGACATCGGAAGTGCTGCTTGTGATGCATTCAAAGTACTGAAGAATTCCAAAGGACAGTTTTTTAGTTTAGTTTTCATTTAGCTGTATAAAAAGAGCTGCTTTCCCTTGGGGCAAGTTAGAGATTTTCTGAAAAAGTAATAAGCAACCCTAGTAACAGCTAGTAACTGCAAGAGGCTAATAGAATGACTGGTGGGCAAGCATAAGTTTAAAATGTCTTCCAATATATGAAAGCCGTTTATTTAAAAAATGTTCATTATTAGCAGTTTTTCTAGAATATAGAATACTGGAATTTATGCAGAGGTGGAATATTTTGGTAATACTTTTGTTAGTCTTTTATTTATTTAGAGCTTCAACCTACAGCTTTTGAAAAGCTCCTCTGTTAAATTATTTGTGTAAGGAGAATTTTGTGGAGGATATAAGAAAGGATTTGTTTACTTGAGCAGATTTTTCCCCTTTTGTATAATGGCCAGTTTGTAGAAGATGACAACAAATGGAAAACAACCTTTGGTGCTCTTCTGTGGATTTGTTGATCCTAAAATCGTGTGTGCTTCGTGGAGATCCTTTAGCTCATCCAGCCACCTTGCTTGGTAATGTCACAGGTGTGGCCTTTGTTCATCATACAATTAAATGGACAACAATGATGACATTAGGCTTATTTTCAAGACATTCTATTTTCTTTCATTCTGTGTCTAATTTTAAATATTTTAATAATTAACTTTAAAAAAAACTAGAACATTTAACGAAAAATAAGTTTGGTTATAGTGGTCTCCGTTCAATTAAATTTGTTCTTTCTTTCCTTTTCTTTAACAGTATTTCACTTTTGTGTAAAGTAATTATTAACGTAATTGCTGCCCCAGCCAAAAATATGCTACAGGTTGCTATCAGAAATTACCAGATTATTAACTAGAAGCATCCTGTTACAGGGAAGAAATGAAAATGTTAAGAAATCGTAAGAAATGAAATGTTACCTGAATGGGCAAAGGGCTGCCGTATCGAAAAGGGAGAACCATTTTCTCTGTCAGCTTAAGCATTCTGATATTTAATGCAGATTTTATATTACTTAGTATTTGTAATACCTGCCGATTAGAATGAATTCCTTTGCTTCTGAATGACTCTTCTGTTTGGGAAAAGTTATC